ATGGTTTTGATGTGCGTATTCATGCTCAAAATTAAAATTAAAATGAAACTTTGTTTTGTTTTTCTTTTTGTTTTGTAACATCTTGTTCAATGTATTGTGTTAATCGGTTGAAAATGATCGTATAAAGATCGAAAATTCCCATTTTCCCAAAATATATTTCAAAGAAAACTACATATAAATCTCTTATTTTCATTCAAAATAGGTTATTTATCAATGATTTTTTTCATATTATTATCGTCATAACGTGTGATTCTTAGAATCAGAAAATATGCCAGTGTCGTTATTAGATTCGAACAATATCCGAATGTCGTTTTATTTGATTGAAAAATACACAGGTGTAGTTATTAGATTCAAAAAGTACACAGGTGTCGTTATTAGATTCAAAAAATACAGGGTGCGAGGGTCGGTGAGAAGAATAACCACAATAATTTGAAATTAAATAAGAATTATTTCGATTTTATTTAAAAATCGTACCAAGTGACTCTGTATTAGTAAAATGATTCAACACACAATACAATGGAAAGTTTTTATGTTCATTTTGTCGATTGTAGCGGTTTTGGTTGCTCTTCATATATGATGATTCTTTGGTGAAGTTGAATTATTCTAAAGAAAAAATACGAATAATAAAAGAAATGAATCAGCATGTTTGTCAAATAAAAAACAGGTTGACTTATCGATATCGAAAAAGGATAAAATCAATCTGCTGTTCTCAGCTCTTGCTTTTCAGCAACCGATTGTTTTGTCGAAGTTAAATGGATTTGTTTTCTTTAAATGAATTTAGTTTTTTTTAAATAAAAAATTATTGTGCTTTGAATAAAAATCATAAAAGATATGCAGAGTTGAATTTGCCGACGCGTTTCGTGTTATTTATTAAAATTTAGAAACATTCATCAGGGCTCCGCATTACAATTTTTAAGCACATGAAAGTTAAAAAAAAAGGAAAAACTTTTTCACAATAAAAAATTTCAACAATGGACATTTGAAAGAACTCTTCATTTTTGAACATTAAAAATTAAAGATGACAAAAAAAGAATAAACAAGACACAAGATATCACTAGCAAAGTGGAATAAAAAAATTTAATTTTTTCTAAAAATTTTGTTTTGTTCTTTGAAGACAAGCTTGGAATCAGAAAAATCGTATTGAAAAAAAAATATTTTAAGAAAAAGAAAAAATTCGTTTATTTATTTTTCATCAGCTGCTTTTGAAAATTTTGAACATTTCGAGTACCGATAACTGGTATAATTTCATTAATTGGTGATTCACTAAAATATTCATTCCAAAGAGCATGAAATTTTGTCGGCAATGTTCGTATGTTTAAACAATAAGTAAAATGAATAAACATTGTTCTATAATGATCAGTTGGTATTTTTTCTTCTTTTATAGTATCATGTATAATATTTTTTCGTATCATATTGTAATTGTTATTAGTTAATGGTTGAGTAATATTGAATTTTTTGAGAACACGATTGAATTGGTTATCTATAAATTTTCCTGGATATTTGTTTAATAATAAAGCCATTCTTAAATCTTCACGTTCATCTAAAAATGCTTTGAATGTTGAACAATATCTTATTGCTCGAAAGAACATAGCAAATGGAATGTTCTTTTTCATATGCATCTGATGAACGCTATTAAATGGTAAATAATACGGTTCGTATGATGGTTTATGATATACTTTTGTAAACAAATGAGCATTAATATTTTCTATATATATGTCTAGAAAATTTATCGAATGACCGGCTTGAGCTTTTAGTTCAATATTTGAGTCAAAAGTATTCCATTGATCAATTTGTTTATTTAAATGTCTAGAAGGCCAATTTACAGTAATAAATATATCATCAATATAACGTAAGTATAGACCACCACCATTAGTAATTTGTTTAACGATATCTCTTTCAAAAAAGAACATGTAACAATTTGCAATAGTGAGTGTTAACGGTGAACCCATAGCACCACCACGAATTTGATGATAATATTGACCTTCGTAAGAAAAATAATTATTTTTTATAACGAATCGACTTAATCTAATTATTGTTTCAACTTTTAAACCACCAATTTGTTTTAGTTTAAGATAATCTAACATTTTTTTAATTGCAAGTACACCTTCCGTTTGTGGTATCATTGTATAAAGATCCACAACATCTATAGTACATAGTAAAGTTTCTTCACGTAGATTATATGTCGACCATTCGTATAGTTGTTTCATTGCGTCGAATCCAGAAGTAACAGTTGTCTTTAATGCTATTTTATCAAATAATGGTCGAAGTAATTCATCGAGATATTTTGATATTTTAATAGTTGGATGTTTAAGACCAGAAACAATTGGACGAAGTGGCGTACCAGGTTTATGAGTTTTAGGTAAATAATATAGATGAGCTAATTTTGCTTCAGTTGGTTTTACGCATAAAATTTCGTATTGTTTTTGAGTGATCCAATGAGCTAATCGTAAATCTAATAGATATTTATTTGTACGTTCAATTAAATTCGGTAATGGATCATTTTCACCTAGACATTGATATGCTTTGGTTTTCTCCATATATTCATTAGATTTCTTTTCATGATGTTGACGTGTACCTAAATGAAATACTTTAGATTTATCTGTTTTTTGAAGAACTATACTGACCGAACGAATTCTATGCTTCAGACGTTTGACTAATCTACCATAATTCTTCTTTTTTTATTATTATCTATAACTGAAGAGTTCATAACCTGAGATTGACTTGATTGAATAGTTGTTAATAAATTATCAAATAAATTAATTTTATGCTGCTGTTTATGTTGTCGATGTGTATTACTACTAGGTGCATCGTGCAGATTTTTAAGTATAATATTTAATTCAGCTATACATTGTTCGACTGCTCGACCGGGGTTCACTTTTTTCCGGAAAAATTGAATTTCACTTTTACGTTAAAGAGTAGCCAGCTCAGTTGTACGTCGTCGAGATGCCGTTGTTGGATCATTATAAATAAACCGAGGGCCTAATTTTAACAGCTGATATTCTTCCTCGGTTAATTCTATTTCTGTTTCATTAATTATATTTGGAGCAAGAAATCCTCGCCCAACGAACGAGTAAGAGTCGGGGCAACAAATTCTTCTTCTTGTTGTTCTTTGGTTTCGCCCTCGACTCGCTGTTCTTTTAAAAAATACAACGATTGTTCAGCTTCTAAATTATATCATTTTTCACGTAATT